AACAAAAAATTTATATTTTGCGTATGAAAGCATTGTAATGTTTACTGATAATCTGCCAGATTTTGTCAACATATGCTTACTAATCTAAAGGTTATAGCATGAAAATTATAACAAGCACAAAATAGTTACGAGGTCAGTCCCAGGGACTGAGCCTGTGCTGAAAGAGTTAAGAAGAAACAAGGTGTGAAGGTAAGAAGAATGAGGTTGAGACCAATGGGAAGCCAATGAGAAAAGGGAGGTGTGCAAACAGGGACACTCAACTCTGGACTCCAATGAGTCAGGAAGACACCAAAATATATCTTACCTTAAAACAGAAGCCATATGCAAGTCTCTTATGAAGGGTGGGGTGTAAATGAACAGGAGACAAAAGAGCATCCTGACCCAAAATATCTCAACTGAGGAGCCATGTTTGGAGGGAAAGGGCTATAGAGGACAAACATGCTGGAGTAGAAAATTCAGATCACAAGTCTCCAACAAAACCCTCTCAAGGGAACGATGAAGAGACTCAGACAGAAGGTAAATCAAAGAAAGGGAACAAAGGAGGGAGGATAAAGGAAGGCATATATGGAAAAATTGAGGTTGGGAAAACATGACCAAAGTATCCGAACCCCACAGAGGCAGAAGAAAATCAAATGCTGGGAGTTAAAAAAAAAAGGAAATGCAAACCAATGATAAGCCAAAGTATTATGGGGTCGAGGCATACTGACTTCAGAATGTAATGAATGAATCCCAATATCCGGTGAGAACAAGATACTGGCACGAAGGTGTCTCACTTAAAAAGGAAAGAGGAGAACTCAAAGGAAATGGGAGACAAAGGCAAAATATAACAAACCTGGTTTATCACCTCCGGGAAGAGAGGAGGAGGCCTAGGTGCATCTGCTGGAGCTAAATATGACTGTGTAGCATAGGATGAGGAGGAAACAAGCTGTCAAAATCATCGTCTTGTTCAGGTATCCATGAACAAGGCATGACAGGATAATCCACAGGCAAATCAGAATCCCACATAAAGGTAGCCAACTCCCAACTCCCAAGGTTATAACATCATCTCCTGATAATTGTGGACTCGAAGCCATTGTTGATGAAGTAAGGTTAACTTCAGTAGGAAAAGCAGTGGTAGTAGTTGTAACATGAAACTCAGAATTTATGGTAATTATGAGTGGAAGTAGAAAAGTCCACACAGGGAGCTCCAAACAAACATGTATGAAAATAAAAGCCATGTAATGTTAACATTTATGAACTCAAATTGTAGAACTGAAGTTTAGCAAATGTAAAGACAAAAAAAAACAAAGTTCTTATTAAAAATACAAATAACTGATTGAAATTCTGCGAAGTAAAGTGAGAGCGAAAAAACATGTACCACGAGTACCAACTGAGAAATGAAGCTGAGCTTAGCTGCATAGAGGGAGTCAGATGTGCTAAGAGTTGTGTTGCACTCCTATTGGTAGAAGGTTGTCACATACTCACTTGCATGCTATAATGCATGCAAGTGGGAAAACACGTGAGGGTAGGTAGGAATATCAAGGCTTGAGGCAAGAAACAATCTGCACATATAGAGGGCAGTACAAGTTGAGAAAAGTTATGTGAGAAGAAGTAAGATATCTTATCAGAATTGAGCAAGAAAAATATAAAAATGAGCAAACTAGGTGTGTGAGAGAGCCAAAATGGAATAAGAAAATCCTTAAGCTGGAAGAAGAGATTCAAAGGATTGGAGTTCTAGGAAAAAGAAAGATCCAGACTCCATGCGATAAGAGTAAAAGTTTTGAGGTTGGAGAGGACACAGCAACTTAACCCATTAACTGCTGCAGGAGCAGCTCAGTTACCATTTTCTGACTCACAGATAAAACTGAGTTGCCATCAATGACAATAAAATGGTAATTATCGTCATTCGCATAGAGCTATAGTTATATATGTGCGACTGATGTATATTTCCGTCATTCGCAGCTAAGCCATAGAACTTCTATGACGGAACTATCCGTCATCTGCAGTTAATGGGTTAAAGTCAACATCAAGCTTAGACAGAAAATAATAAGAAATGATATAAAGTAAAGGGGGAAAGAAAAAATGAAAGGGAGGAAAATAACCTGATGGTTAACTGATGCCAAGGGTTGTGTGCCTGGATTGTTGCAACACACTACTTCGGTCTTAAATTCCTGTAGATGGGGTCACTGGGATGGCTCTCTCTAGGTTTAAGGCACACACAATTAGCTCACTTGTGAACTAGCACTAACAACTGATGTAAGAGAAAGAATATCACATACTCGTGTTAGTAGAGCAGTAAAGGAAGAATGTGGAATTTCCTGATCCTCGTCTGAGATAAAAGAATCAGAAGTAAAGGCAGGTGGTGGGAAGAGCTGTTCAAAATAGTCCAAAGACAGGGCAGGCTCACCAGAAACTACAGAAGCAGGGGGCTACAAATCCTGGGTTTGAACAAAGATTGTAGGACAGAAGTAATTACTTGATATACAATGGCAGTAACATAACTCACTGCCAGAGTACCTACAGCAATCATTGAAATATGACTCCTATTTAGGAGCATTTAAATTTTGGGAGGCTTTTGAAACATGGATATGAGAATTCATGTTCAATAAAATCCACAAAAGAGTTAACTGAATTTTTTGTTTATCTTTCTTTCTCAATTCTCAATTTTAAACTTTTGTTTGAAGAGGCTTATGAGAGTACTATGCAAGGAGGTTGTGTCAGCCTCCTTACAGTAGATGGGTCATAATCTGATGATGCTTAACAACAAAGACTAGCATACTTTAGTATACTTTATTCTATGCATGGGTGAAAGCTATTTTGAAGATTTGGTGCATGCAAAAAAAGGTTTGGGCAGTAGCACCAAGTTGTTAGCTAATTATTATGTGTAGAGATACATAATGTAATCTGAAATGTTTTTTAACTTTCAGAAGTATTTTCTTTTAATTATCTTCAGCCACTATACGTTTAGGAAGACTTATGTACCTTCACCTCTTAAAGCATCTTTAGTATGGACATGAATGTCACATCTGCCACAGTAATCCTCTACCATCATATGTAAACCATACTCTTCAACAAATGGATCAAAACTGAACAATAAAGCTTTTGGCATCTCACGGAGTCTATGTCTTGCCAAATCTAGAATATTATTGTGGCAAAAAAATGGTTCACTGCAATCCTGGGTGAAAGTCCTAATAAAATTGCCAGTCAGTGTACTTTTTCTTGCATTTTCTGCTTTTTAAGCACAGTATTAGTTAATAATTCACATAAGAATGTGTTAGTCTTGGTGCACCACTAAATTCAGCATATTGTTAAATATATTTGCTACAGCACTTGAAACCTAACCTTATAACTTGGGACTAACTGTGGAAAAGAAATCACAAATCTAGACTACTCAAAGCAATAAACACTTACTTTGCTCTCTGTATATAAATTTGTAAATTCCCATTTTGTCTTTCTTATGTCTACTGTGAGCAACTGGCACACAGGACAGCCCTATGAAGTCTGTTCTTAACCATCTGTATGCTGATTAGTTGTTCAGTTGTGGCTGTGAACATCTGATATAATATCTGTAATCCAAGATTGACAAATATCAGTCATTCGCTTGTATTATAGAAGATGGTCTGCCTTCTCCAAACAACCATTATCATTTGGAAGTGGTTCCACCCCTTTTCAATAACACTTTGCTGCTATGACTTCCCAGCCTCTGTTTGTCCAATGGCTCTCCACACAAGTGAAAAACATTCATGTTATTATGTTTATCCATTGGCTGATTTCCCAAACAATGAACTGAGAGGTGATGTACATTGATGTGTTTGGCTTCACATACTGTCAACAAGTTGGTATAAGGTTTTTCAAAGTTCAAAACTAGCATAATATAGTCTTTTTGGTGTGTTTTCTCATCTATTGATTGGATTTCTTCTGTCAAACAAGTGTGATATAAACCAACCTATTTCGGTTTCAGGATCATGTACTTTCAAGTTGTATAACATAATAAGGTTTTCAAAGTATTAAACTGATAAGGTTCAGACATAACATACATTAATATCTATTGGATTATTATTTGTTTTGTGCAGTTTTCTCAACACCTCTGTTTTTATAGAACTCATTTTACTTATGAAGATAAATGGAATGTTCTACAAATATGTATGTAGAAATCTCAAAGTACCAGTCAGTGTGTGTATTACTATAGCTTTTTTAGAGCACAGTAACATTTGCTGTTGTCCCTAGAAGTTCAATTGTACTTTCATGTATAAGTTTCAAAACAAAGACCCATTAAAATTATTTATAGCCTATAAAACACACATGCTCACTACTATAAAGCTGCATGTCTGTCTGAAACAAACCACTTATACCCATTTAAGAGTAAAAATATATTCTTTCAAAATCTGTTATCATGTGTTCTTCATGAGTTCATAATTATTCTATACAAACATATTCTATAATTTCATTTCATATACATATATTAATCAGTACAGAACAAATATAAATCTTTCTTAAATCTTGAAGTTAATAAAAACATATGATGTTACAGTATATATATATTTCTGAATTTACAGTAAAGTTCTACAAGAATAATATTGGAGAAATTTACAAGTCATTAAAACTAGTAAAGGATTTTTAAAATGTCATAAATTTGTCACAAATTATTTGTCACATTTTGTAATATTAATTTCTATCTTTTTATTCTCCAGCAATAAAATCAGTAAATAATTACTTTTGTGAAATGGTTCTTTACAAATCACTTCAATAAATTGGCTTAAAAAGTCTAGCATGCAAATAAGGTGTCCAAATTAAAAAACAAGCCACAAATAAAACACATCTTGTAAGCGAGTGCTATTTATCTACATAAATGTATCTAAAAATAATCTAGCATATTTCCTCTTCAAAATAATGCTATTTATCATTTTCTTACATCATTACATTTCAATAGATTGTTGTAGTAGTTTATAGGTGATTTATTTATTTATTTTCCAGAGAGAGAAAGCATGTTTTATGTTGTAAAAACAAGCAGTTTATCTTACCTCACTCTGAGCATCAGAAAAAACTCCACAATGAGGGTTATCAGTAATTCTCCTTGGTATCATGGAATGATCAAGATAATCAGAAACAGTGGGAACTAAATCATTGTGGACAGGGGTATTTATATCTCCCATCTTATAGGTTTTCTCTGTGACACTGTTGGGAATAGAACTTGAATCTATTGTTTGAACAGCTACATAAGAAATTGATCCATCATCATTTGGATAGCCTTTATCATCATGAGCAAATATTTCCATACATATACCAACATCTTCGTAGCTTACTGATGAAACAAAAGATTCTTTACATGCATTACTCACAGTTACAGTTTCAGTTGAATCTATTGCTTCAAATTTGCTATACATGTGCAAGTCTTTATGAACAGTAGAATTTAAAAAGCTAGTTTCTGGTGTACAAGACAGAGTATCAACCTTTTCTTCTATGGGTGGTGAGAATATTTTCTGTGATGATGAGAACTTAGGACTGTTATTAGATCTTTGTTTATCTGACTTATCTTTCTGATTACTCATACTTGTCTCCTCATCCTTGCTATCAAGGATATTACTAACATGACAACATTTCTCTTCATGTAAGGGCATTACCTGCATGTTTGCAAAATCATTCACTAGACTTATCACTGACTTCTTTAGGCTATCTGTAACACCAGTGAGGGCACCAACCTGCTTAAACTTTCTGGTCTGGCAGCTATCAAAATTCTCACATTCAGTGTTTAGTAAGCTCATAGAAATACTATCACTAACTGTTATTTGTGTTGACCGACTTTCGGATGACTCCATGGCAAGTGACAGTTCCTCTAAAGGTTTGTTTGAATGAGTCTTGTTTGCTTCTTAAACTACATAATCTAAAATCATGAGAAGTCACTAATGGCACAAGTGTTGGACGAGACCTCTATTGTACTTGCAGCAGTGACAAAATCCAAGTTGATTTCTTTCAAAAAACAAATACTAAATTTCTTTAAGTTTTGTTATCTAATAGATTGTTTTCTAGTTAATACTCCATCTGAAGTAAAACCACAAAGCAGAACAGACAAGACACCAGGCAAACAATTATCACTGATTACTATCTTTTCTCCTTGTTTGACAACAGAACTCTGAAATGAATAAAAAACTAAATTCAATCTTGTATAAATCTTAATCAATCTTAAAAATTCAGTTTTCCTAAGCTAGAGGTATGTGGGAAATATTTTTTAAGATGTAGAAGATTATGAAAAATATATTAATTTAACTTCTATTTTCATTTTTTGTTATTAATGCACTTGCAACTAAACAGGTTCATAAAGCCTTTATAGCTAGTAATTAGCTATCAAACTTTTTTTGTGTGCAAATTAGCAAAGATAGATATATAATTAATACAACCCCAATAAGTTATAAAACTCAAAAATCAAATTAACAAACAAAAATATGACTTTGAAAAGGCTGTAAATGGTAGTTGGCACTGAAAATTGTTAAAGCAAATATAACCTATGGTGTTTTTTTTTAAGCTTTTAAAAAGAAATATCTTTCACAATAGCTAATCAAGCATTTTTGTCATAGCTAAAGATATACTCTTGAATTCAATTATAAATACTATGTTAATGATCAGATTTATCTAAAGCAAATTATCAATAAAAATTTATCCAAAATAAAAACTAATGACAAACACTGAAAATATTAAGTTGAAAACAAAAATCACAACTCACGAAACTGATACATAGATGAAAAAAAAAAGAGCTTTACTTTCGGTACAGTATTGAAGTTAGATGAAATCTTAGAACATAAAACCAACATGTGTAAAAGATTTGGATTTTCAAGCATAAAAAATCTCTAAAAGGGACATGCTCTTAGGAATGGATCTCAATATAAACAAAAATAAAAATTAGCAATCATTAACTTTTTCTGGTAGGAATCTTCATACAGACAAGTGAATATATATCTTGTCTTTGTTGAAAGACAAAAACAAGGTATTTGTATTTACTCAATGAAATCATTTAAACTGAACAGTGGACATTACAAAATTGTTTAAAGTTGAATGTTTTGTGAGAAATATTTTACAAAGATATGTAAAGAATGGACCTGAAAAGCCTTTAAGTGCATTTATGCAGCACAGCCAGCAAGTTTGTTCTAAATGTCTAATCATTAGTTATCAATGTTTTGCTATTTATGTAAAAGAACAAAAGAAAAAAAAGTGGAAAGTCACCCACCCAAACAAAATTAATCTTCACCTCATCAAAATAAATGAGACGTACCCCCCTCAAACATACACACATCCACTTACTCATCCATTTATTTTTTAATTCAAACTAACAACATTCCACAAATTTATAACTTTAATTTAAAAAATGGTTTTTTGAGAAGGATGAGAGTATGCAACCAAAATTAAGTTTAAGTTCATTTCAATGGGGGTCCTCGCTATACATGGCCCCTCTTTACACGATTTTGCTTTTACACCATCGACTCAATAATAAATAAACAATAAATGAAAATTCCACATATTTCATATTTTAAAAATACTTAAAAAACACTATTTTTGAACAATGCACACAAAAGCATCCACAGTGGCACTGCTCTTGAGAAAACAAATGCTACCAACAAGTACACAGATTGTAAACAAATGTGGCATCAATTTGAAGCAAAACCCCTGGAAAAATAAGTTCTAAACATCCAGGAAGTGATAGTGTATATGTCAAGATGGATGTTTTAAGGTGCTTTGAAAAAGTAGAACGGACTGTTGATATTGCTAGAGCACTGAGCCTGCCACCATTAACAGTGAGAACCATTCAAGAAAACCCTGAAAGTGTTACATCATGAGATGCTGAATAACTCCACCACTCTCCACCCTTATTTAGTAGGCATCAATAAGAAAACTCCCAAACCATCTCATGTAATTGTTGTTTTATATACACAGAAAAATCTCTTTTCCTATATGTATATCCAGCTCTTACTCTTAAATACTCATTTAAATTACTTAAATCCTTTGATGTTATAGCTTCTACCACAAATGAAGATAAGCTATTCCAAAGGCTTACTACCCTATGGTATTATCCTTAGCTTGTGTTTTGCTTAAACGTGTGTACTCTAATTTTAATGCCTGCAGTTTTTATGAAAATTTAATGTTTTTGTGGATCCTGACCAGTAAAATTACGCCAACAGATTCCACCATATCCTTACACATTAGCCCTCTCCATAACTGGTATCATCCTGGTAGCTCTTTTCTGAACCCTTTCCAAGAACTTGACCATCCTATAAGAACTGTATTACTGTAATAAGTGTGACTGTTGAATCCACTTGCACTGCTCAAACTCAAACCTGGTTGGCTACATAATCTAATTTTGCCACTCAAATAGAATACCAAGAGGAAAGCAACCCAAATCCCAAGTAAGTCTAAACACCTAATTCAAGTTCTCTCTATTATTAGAAAGCACCTATGTCATGTTCCTCATTCTCTAATAGACAATTATGGTAAACTATATAAGTAAGGAGTACAATTGTGAACAGCAAATATATCTCTGATAACATAAAAATAATACTTCTGTGTTTCTAAAAGTCATACTTTAAAAGCACAGTCATATAATTAACTCTGTTAAATTATTGCATAAAAGGCTGAAAAAATACTTTAATACTCATCACAATATGAATTATATTTATAACAGATATTACTGGGTTAGAACTTTAAGTTTGCTATTTTTTTAACTCTGACTGAATGATATATGGGAACTTATTGGTAGTGGGAATAGTTAAAGTTTTCCTAAATTCAAAAGGTATATCC